CTGAGAAAAAAAATTCTCTCGCCCAATAAATCGGGAAGAATTTTTTCATGAGTGTCGACTCCCTAGAGGCGAAAAGAAAAATTTGAATTTTTTCGATTTTGTAATTACCCAGCTAAAAATTGAGGATCGTATAGATTTTTTTAACTAGTCGGGAATGTAATGGGTCAAATGAGATGGTTCCGGAAATTTTCCTCCGTGTCTGATGCCCCAAGTGCCACCCCTCAACTCCAAATATTTATACATCCCCCCTTCCCTCGAAAACAAATATCTTTCCCTGGAATACGGAATTTATCTGGATTTCGAGGTGTTAACAAAAAATGGGCACACGTGAGGGGGTGAGGGGATGAGGGGATGGTGGAGGTGAGGTCAGGTCGATCGCTCGTCGAGTGCTGGGAAGACCTTGACTCAGTGGTCGTAGCTATTGCGCATGCGATGTGAGTGTAAAAAAAAAAATAAAAAAAAAAAACTGAAAAAGAAACCACGACAAGCGATGAGGACAGTACCTCCTGTCTCGTTACCCCTCATACCTCTCATCCCTCCACCGAGTCCGGGGTCTCCCTCGTATTTTCTCATGGTCTACCGTATCTACTACTGTTTCACTCCCACCGCGGGGTTGTACTACTGTTACGTCACTATCTTTACACTCTAATCCCCTCCCCCCGGCGTCCTCTCCCTCTTACCCCCTCCAGAAAACCTCCCACTTGGTGCTATCTGAGGTGGGATGAGAGGGTGGGAAAATCCACGAGCACTAACTCAACAGACAATTAACTTATGTGATAAAATTTCGTTAAATGTTTTTCTCTTCTCGTTGAGTTATTTATTTTTTTTTTTTTTCGCTTTTTTTTCGCTTTTTTTTTCTCTCGACTTTAAGGGGATGTCGAGAGGAGTTGGAAAATTACTAATGCAATTTGGCCCTCCGTAGTTGACCCTCAGATTGACACGGGATTATTTTATAAACAGGTGATGATGGTGGAGGTGAAATTGTTGGGAATTATCCGTGATTGTGAACGTAAAGTGAATGGAGGGAGGGTGATTAGTTTAAATCATGAGAGCAATGGGATAAATTTTATTTGAATGTTCATTTTCGGTATTGCTGTGATGTAATACAATGGAAAATAATTGAGTGAATGAAATTCTTCGGTGCAATTGGTGGTACTTTGTTGTTCATGACTTTGAAGTTGCGACGATTGCTGAAAATGCTCTCATGATTTTCACTGTCCAACGCAAGTTGATCGGTCATTTTTTTTTAGACATTCGTTATTTCATTTATCGTGATTGATCCGTAGAAATTGAATTTACTCCATGAACCTGTCCTATTTGTGGGCACGGGACAGTTAGCCTTGAGGACACACGTCAAAATCAACCATAGCACGTGTCAAATTGCGAATATAGAACGATGAAAAAAATATATAGCCGATTGAAACGATCGCTAGAGATATTTCGGTATCTCTTCCATTTTCTTTTATTTTCTCTTTTTTTTTTTTTTTTTCGGTGAGTCTCCGGTACCCAGAGAGAATTCCCAGATAAATTTTCAATGTGACGCCTGACCTTTTCGTATCAACCCAACTCTCCTCCCAAAACTACATACGTTATGATTATTGATTCAGCAGTTGCATGAGTGGCAAGGTCTTGCATTTTTGTGATGAGAGAAAAATTTTGTTATTCAATTTTCCCGCATTTATCTTCATCATGTTGTCGAGGGAGAAAAATAATCCAACATATCAAAAATATATCCCCCCTCGGGTAAAAAAAATTGTAATCGGAATATTTTTTCCGAATTTTCAAAAAATTTCTGGAAAACTTTTCAGAAGGTTTTTTTTACGAAACAAAAAAAATCGGAAAACAAAAGAATTTTAGTTTTGGGAAAGGTTTTGAAAAATTTTAAATGTAAGAAAACAACAGTATAATTTAAAAAAAAATTATATTTGCAACTTTTGGAAAAATTTTTCAAAACATTTCCCAAAAATACAATTGTTTTGTTACCCGATTTTTTTTGTTAAAAAAAAATGTTCTGAAAAGTTTACCAGAATTTTTTTGAAAATTTGGAAAAAATATTCCGATTGCAATTTTTTTTGCCCAGGCCAGATCACACGATTATCCGAGAAAAAATACCAAATTGAAACTTACCCTTTTCTTTTACCACAAAAAATCATCAAAGGCTGATTGACTCAATTTTCGTGCACCCCCAAAACCCCTAATAATTCCCTCAAAAACTCATTCACTCAACTTTCTAATCTCCTTTACCAACTCTAAACTCCAGTGGCATGCAATAAAATTCACCCACACCAATATATGTAACCGGAAGTGAGAAGTTTCGAATCAACTTGGAAAATTTTCTAGCAGCTGCTGTCGTGAAATAAAACTTTGTCAATATAATTTGGACAAATCTCCGCTAATGAGTGTTGCAAAATTTTTTTCTCTGCAACCAATCGGAAGAAATAAAATCGTCTTGAGTCAAACATTTCACGCGAAGCCGTCATTAACGCCCTAATAAACACGAATATAACCTCAATTTCACGCAAGCACAATTGGAGTAATATTCACACAACAGCCACTTATTGCCACTATCTATTTCCGTATCAGCTTGTCTCCTCTCTAAGACAAAACCCGTTTACATTTTACCCCCACCATTCCCTTTCTCAAAAGCCTTCCGCACGTATTACTATCACGCAATGCCTCAAACTGTACAGTTTATTCCCGTGTGAATTTCCATTCTCGTGCGTTTATCCTTGCTCCTGTTTTGGGCCAATTCTCTTATTCCTATCGTGTTATATTCACCAGCGAGGTCGAAACTTCATCGAGTTATTTCGTGTCCTTCGTACAATTGCCCTAGTCACGTACATTATTATGCCTTTTTCCAGGTATTCCATAAGAGGTTATTTAACTGCCAATCACCTATTTTCGTATTAAAATAAGTATGTGAAAAATCAAGGCCAAATACAAAGGGTCAAAATCGTGGGTCAACTGCGGAGTTGTCTGTTGAAGGTCAAAGCATGACAACTCATTATCAAAAATTTTTGGTATTTCGCGGGTCTTAGAATCCACCACCCAATTTCAAAATAATGATAAAAAATCATTGACCGTCAATATCGCCCCAACGAAATCCCGACGATATTCTCAGCCCCGAGGATCTTCTACCCCTGAATGGGGTCATTTTCAACCCCTCACCACCCCGCCACTCAACCCCCAAAACACTTAACCTAAAACTCGACGTCAATTACTCGAAGAACTAATTATTCCTTTCCATTAAAAGAATTCTCCGTCTTGAAAAAAAATATATACTTGGACTTATCGAAACAACTGTTGAGGAGCGGTAAAAAATATATCAACCGTACATTCTGGTTGTGGTTGAATTAGCATAGGGTAAAGGCCATTGTTAAGTGTTTTTTTTTTTTTTTTTACTTCTTTTCGGGAAAATGCAGGTTGTTTTTCTGCACTACCTTAACGATCTCAGGGCCGCAGCTATGTGCCAATAACACGCGAGACGATTTCCCTCTTCCTCTCGTACAGACGGTTTTAGTAAGAAATGGAGGGGTGGAGCTAGTTGATCGATGTTGAAGCTGGCAAAACTTCGAAGCAGTCGATATATTCCAGTGGGTGAATCCCCCTCTTTTACCATCCCTTGGGCAATACCTGGGAATGATCGTTATCTCGATGGGGGGGG